GAGAGAGAGAGAGAGAGAGAGAGACGCTACACACAAAATCAAGAAGGTCAACCAAAACAAAAGAAAGGAGCGAATTTCACCGGTCACCTTTCAGTTTTCTAATCCTGTGTGCGGGACAGATTGGGTCAGAAGGCAGCTAGCCACTGCACGCCTATCTTCAGCAGAAAAGGAGCCCATAGATACGTCCATTATTTTTTAATTGAGCTGCTTTATATACTCGAACTAAACACACATGGTCTAGAGAGTTGTCCCCAATGGAAAAACATTCATATAGATCCTGAAAACCACGTTACATTTAGGCTTATTGAGTACCATGTCGCCAGACTTGTGCGTTGAAACAGGGATATAATTTGACAAGAATGCTTTTTTCCCAGCCAGTATTCAGCAGATTCTGCAGAACCGGGAAGGAATCGCATTAGTGTGCACCGACAATAAACAGGACGAGCAGGGCCGGAGCTCGCAAGCGTTAAGGAGGTTAATGGTGCGCAAAGCGGCCATCTCCTTCCAGGAGTTAATGGAGTCGAGCGACCAGCCTCTGAGGCGATTAGGAGTTGCAGGCCCTTGTGGAGGCGGGCGGGGCCGGGCAGTGTGGCCCCCATCAGAGGCCATCTCGCCCGTCGGCGGACCCGGCACGACCTTATCGTTTTAGTTAGGTCCACCCGGCTTCTAAACAATCCAATAACCGTCCCTGCCTTGCCCGGTAAAGGGTGGCACACCAAGAGAAGACGTAGGCTTAGGAGGTAGTAGAGAAGTCAAGGATGGAGGAGGGGAAAAAGGGGCGAGGGGTGTGTGTGAAACTCCATGACGTCATTGGTATGTAGCCATGTGTCTGTCTGTTCGTGTCAGCGACTGGGGGTATATGATAGACAGACAGGCAGACAGGCAGACAGGCAGACAGACAGACAGACAGACAGAGATATAGGTGCGGGAATTTTTAAAAAGGGGAGGGGAGGAGGGGGAGAGGAGGGGAAGAGCCCGTGGAAAAGGAGGGAAGGGATGTTAACGGAACAAAAAGACAGACAAGAGACAACAGACACAGACATGGGAAAGGGCACACACACACACACACACACACACACACACACA